CTGAAATGAAAGCGGGTGGGTATCAGGGAAAAAATAAAGGCAAGTGTGAGCAAGTAAAATTAAGGAAGAGGGAAGAAAGAATGAAGAAAAAGTAATAAAAAAGAGAAAGAAAAAGAAGGTAATAACGGGGTAAGAGTGTGTGGTTGGAAATCGAAGCAAGACAAAAGACAATGGCGTCAACGAATGGAAAGAAAGATAAGAGATAATGAATAAAGTAAAAAGAAAAAGAAGGAAAAATATAAGAAAAGAACAACAAGAATTAGAAAAAACAGAAGAAAAAGAATAGAAGAAAAATAAGGAGGAAACGGAGATTAGAAGAAGAAGAATTGGAAGAAGAAGAAGAAGAAGAAGAAGAATTGGAAGAAGAAGAAGAGGAAGAAGAAGAAGAAGAAAAAGAACAAAAACAAGAAAAACAGCAACAATTAGAAGAAAGAGAAAAACAGAAGAATTATAAGAAGAAGAATGAGAAAAAGAAGAAGAAGAAGAACAACAACAACAACAACAGCAACAAATAGAAGAGAGAGAAAAAACGAAAGAAAAAAAGAATTATAAGAAGAATAATGAGGAGAAGAAGAAGAAGAAGAAGAAGAAGAAGAAGAAGAAGAAGAAGAAGAAGAAGAAACGAAAGAAAAAAGAATTATAAGAAGAATAATGAGAAGAAGAAGAAGAAGAAGAAGAAGAAGAAGAAGAAGAAGAAACGAAAGAAAAAAGAATTATAAGAAGAATAATGAGGAGGAGGAGAAGAAGAAGAAGAAGAAGAAGAAGAAGAAGAAGAAGAAGAAGAAGAAGAAGAAGAAAGGTAAGAAGAAATAAATGAAGAAGAAACGAAGGAACAAAACAAAAATATGAAAAAAGAATGGAAAGTGCAAAAGGCTTTTCTCTAACTTCTCCAAATACCTACTTTCCCTAAATACCTAGTTTTTTTCCCCTAAAAACAGGGAAAAATTAATCTAACTTGATAAATATAAATATAAAGAAATCTTTAAAATACAGAACAAGCAAATAATGATAAAATATCCTAAATCCTCTTCCTTTCCCTTTTCATTTTATTTTTTTTTTTTTTTTCTTAAGTATTTTCCCGAGAAAAACATTTCCTCCGCAACGACAAAAAAAAAAATCAACATAAAAACGGAAAGCTACTCGATGCAAAAATAAATTTAGGGGAAAAAATATTAATCTTCCAAAATGTAAGACTCAATTTATTGAGTGTATGAAAAAAGATAATTGTATATTTTCTTTTGCTTATTTCTCCAGAAAATATTGATGATATTATATATGTCTGTATTACATATATGTGTGTATGTATGTATGTGTGTATGCGTGTATGTGCGTGTGTGTATATATATATATATATATATATATACACAAAAATACATACACAAATATATATATATATATATATATATATATATATATATATATATATATATATATATATATATATATATCTATTTATATCTGTTGTATATCTCTATATATGTTGGTAGCTCTCACATAAATATGCATATACATGTTCAGATATTTATCGATATTCGCGTTGTTTTGTCTCTCAATAATTTTAAAAACTGTCTTATTCTTCTTGTATTTTATACTATGTAAATAACTTTGCATATATAGAAATCTTTCTCAAGGGCTTCAAACATTTTATGCTAAAATAAATTTTCAAAAATTATAAGGTATTGAACAGGGAAAAATATTCACAAGTAACAACTCTTATTTTCCTGATTAAAAAAATTCCATACACTAATAGTCACAAGAATTCACACTGAGATCGGAAACTGACACATTCCTGTTAGTATGTCTGAATGTGCGCATGCGCAATAAATAATATTTATGGAAAGTCTCTTGTCCAGAGTTTTTTTTGTTTTGTTTTTTTTTGGCTTAGGTGACATCAGAAAAATTTTATACCTTGGCTTCTTTCTGCAGTTATAACGTTTCGTGTGCTGTTACATATTTCAAGACATTGCCGCTTTACTTTTTATGCTAGAAAATAGTTAATAAATCTGATTTTATAATTAAAAGAAAAACTTGTAGTTCCAACGAATGATTTATTTCATGGAAATATTTGAACTAGCTGTTGCTAGCCTTGGTCACTCTTTTAATATGAGTAAAACAGTGAAAAGAAACTAGAAACGCTTAAGAATTCGAATCAAGGAAAAATGACGTTTACAAAGTAAGAACACACGCTTTTTTAAGTGAGGTTCATGCCTTATTCGTATCAAAGTTAGGATGCTTGTCTCCATTGGTAGTTGCATAATTAAAAGAAAAACTTTTAGTTCCAATGAATAGTTTATTTTATGGCACTTATTAGTTTTAATTTAACATCACCTTTCTAGCGATCTAAAAGTGGTTTTTACATTGTATTTAAATATATATGATTTGCGCCATGGATATCTAACAAGAATAAAGATACAAAGGTACAAGGATTATCAGAACGTAAATTGAAAGATGGCGAATTGAGATCAAATTTCGTTCGAAAAAGAAGATGGTGATTGGCGTTGCATTTAAATTTTTGAAGATTGTCAGTGGCAGGAAAGCATATAACGAGAAATTCGCAGGTGAGATGTGCGAGAAATAAACTATTAGGATAAAACTTACAGTTACATCAAGCTAGTTCTTCCCTCCCACTCAGCTATACGTTAAATAGGATGGCAAAGTGCACCCTCTAGCTTTTTTTGACAATCTAAAAGAGCAACTCAGAATTTAAAAAAAAACTGTAAATAAGAAACAAATTTACTATTTATTCCAAGAACAATCATGAATATCTAGAGATATTAAAGGAAAAAAAGAAGCTGTAGAGAGCCGTGATTCCTCCACCTTGAAGAGATATGGTACTTAAGGAATATCAAACAAGTATTGATATTGTTTAATATAACCCCCAGAAGGACAAGATATTGCAACTTCTTGGCCTCACTTTTTCTACTGACATAAAGCGGAATCATTATTTTAAATTAATTGTTAGCTCTATTGCTAGGAAAGTTGGTCTATTATTGTGTCATGCCAGATAATTTTTTCTTGTCAGAATTAATTTTACACATTTATAAATCTAGCATTCATCCGTGAATTGACTATTGCTGTCATATCTGACCTGATACTCATACTATATATCACTTGATTCTTGACAAAATCTAAAAAAGGAGCCTGTAATGTAATCGATAATGACCTGGCATCTCGATCTCATTCTTTTTCTAACGGATGTAACGCAGTCTTCCACTCAGACTTTTCTACGAATATTTTCATGGCAGCTGTTCTGATGCATCAGTTACAGGAATTTAAGCGTACTAGTAGATTAAATTCACGCAGTCAAAGTGCTCATTAGAACAATATATATATATATATATATATATATATATATATATATAATGAAATGGACATAGTCCGACAATTATTTTAAGACATATTATATTAAGAAATATTTAAGTATATACTCTGTTTTATAATAAACAGTATTAAACAACATTTCCTGGCCTGAATATCCGAAAGATTTTCATAGAAAATATTCGTCCTCCGAGAGGAATCGAACCTGTATCCTCTACGGAATCGTCATATAGCCTGACGGTCAATGTTATTAATACTGTTTATTATATAACAGAGCATTTACTTAAATATTTGTATCTCTAAAAAGAATGTATAAACATAAAAATGTCTTAATATATATATATATATATATATATATATATATATATATAGGGAAAGAAAACAGAGGGAAACCACGTCACATCGGTTGAAAAGTGACTGAAGTCGAAGTGCCAGGTCAGGACCGGTAATATTGCAGACACTTCTTTTGTCGAGAATTCCGAGGTAAATAGCCACAGATATGGCAGTAATATTCAATGCACGGACGAATAGAAAATTTATAAATATGCAAAATGGAGTCTGTCAAGAAAAATTTGTCTGGTGCGACACAGTGAACCAGCCTTCTTAGTAGCAGATCTAGAAATTCATAATAATCGCCTATCTTCCTGTCAGTAGAAAACGTGAGACCAAGAAGGCGCAAGAATTTGTTCTTTTGGGGGTTAGCATCAGCCATGCTGATGGAGGTGAAAATGATTCTCTATGATGATCAAATGATAGCAGTTTCATTTGGGAGGTGTTAAAATTCACAAATGTCTTAGGTAACATTTACAAGTTAATTTATGAAATAAATCGATTGTTATTAGAAAATTGTAATCTTATAAGCTCACATGCAGCATATTACACCGGAAACGACCTTAGTATTACACCGGAAACGATCTTAGTATTACACCGGAAACCACCTTACACTCAATGATTTGCAAAATTAAGTCGCTGACCATAGTATATTAACAGACTTTACATAAAATAGTGAACTCAAAAAATAAGGTTAATCCACTATTTTTATATTTTAAGCAAAATCTACTCTAAATTATTGTGATATATTCACCAAAGGATTATTTAAAAAGAAAAAAGTCTTATCTTTACAAAACACTACATTTCCAAACTATAGAATCTTCGAAAATCATTTTTGTTCATGAACAGAATAAATACTAATTTGAAACTTAATGACTTATCTGCTAATTAAAGTTTGCTCTACTTGATTTTAGGACTTAGATGACTTTCTAAAGAACATTCTGTTCTCTATGTTGAGAGACTAGAATAACTTAAAGCCCAAATAATCATCGCTTATTAAATATTTTATCTCGAGTGAAACAGTCGAACACCTGAAATCTACTTCTCAGCCATAAACATATTTATAGAAAAGATAGAGGGAAGCCACGTCACGTGGAGCGTGACTTTATTCGAGATGCTAGGTCTTTTGTTGGACGTAGTCCTTCCCCAAATTCACAGAGAAGAATGGGCCATGAACATACCGCACTGGTGAGGCGAACGTGACACTCTTGGGTGATCATGTCTCTTCTCGATTCATGGTCGCACATGTGCAATTGCGTAAGTGAATGAAACGAACCTGACTGGAATTCGAACTCGACTCTCCGATTTCTCAGGCCGTTTGCTATTAAACCACCCACACATCTAAGATTATATCATCTGGTATTCCATAGCTATCACCCATCTAGGTACTGACCATGCTCGACGTTGCTTAACTTCGGTGATTAGTCGAGAACCGGTGTTTCAACGTGATCTGACCGTAAGCCCATTACAACACCCGCACGTCCAAGTCTACAGCATCTGGTATTCCATAGCGTGCACCCATCTAGGTGCTGACACTGCTCGACGTTGCTTAACTTCGGCGATCAGAGGAGAAGCGGTGCCTCAACATAATATAGTCGTAAGCAAAACACCTGAAATAATGAAAGTCAATCAATAATAGTTCACGTGAATATTGATCTTATTCTAAAACTAAGTGCTTCAGTTCCGTTACAAGCACGAGTGTATCAGCGAACATGGGCGGACTAAAATTATCCTAGAAAGCAGATTTTCAAGGCGTGGATATTTTCTAATTAATTTCCTACTAAACAAAAGAAACCCCATCCACACTTAGTATTTATATGCGAGACTAACATAATTCTTTTAATTGTCTTTCCGGCACGCTGGAGAAATGGATAGCGGCTCCGATTGAGGAATCAGAGAGCCAGTCTGTTCCACTGCACTTACGTGTTGATAGCCTTGTCAAAGGTGTGAATCCTCTTCTTCTCTCTTTCAGCTATGGGTAAATAGCAGGGCAGACTGGGTTTTATAGCCTTGGGTGAGAACCAGTCTAGGAGAAAGTAACTTGGAATTTAAAATGTCTGACAAACTATCAAAGTCGACAAGTACTTGACATAGGCCGGAATGCACAACCAAAGAATGAAATAAAAATAACAAATATGGGGATAATGGTCCTCAATCCAACAATCTAGACAGAAATTAGACCTTCGTGCAAAAAAAAAAAGTTACATACGATGGTTCACTCAACTAATAAGTGAGGAAAAGTCTACAGCATGCAAATTTATTTGAATAAATTTTGGCATTTGTTTAGTGATCAACTGGATTTCATCACGCATTATCTATGAATTCTGTTCTAACCAGGTGACCAAAAAATGCGACCTTGTGTCAAAGTTAGTTTGATGTAAGAAATGCTCTGTGCAGTTATGGTTGGCAGGGAATCATTTAACGAGGTAAACTTGCAAGTTTTTCAGAACAAACTCCATAATTTGTGCAGAAATAAAAAGTGTTCGGCCTACGCTCAAAATTAGATCAGTTTTACAACGAGCGAATACAAAAGAAAAAACAAGGGAAGTGTTTGGGGCGTATTTCTATGGCTATAAAAGTTAGAATCAATTTTTATTGATAGCTTACCCGGATTTATGTATTTTTGCAATTTGGTTAGATAGATAGATAGATAGATAGATAGATAGATAGATAGATAGATAGATAGATAGATAGATATGACTAGACTGAGAGATAGGGTTTAATATATAAAGGCAGACGATTGCAGATAGGTAGATAGATAAACTGACAGATAGATAGAAATAGACTAAAATAGATAGATAGATAGATAGGAACAAATTAAATAGAGAGAAACAGACTAAAATACACACACACACACACATATATATATATGTATATATATATAATATAAACAAAATTAAAATAGATAGATAGATAGATAGATAGATAGATAGAAACAGACTAAGATAGTTTTGAACAGAATGGGATAGATAGATAGATAGATAGATAGATAGATAGATAGATAGATAGATAGATAGAAACAGACTAAGATAGTTTTGAACAGAATGGTACAGACAGATAGATAGATAGATAGATAGATAGATAGATAGATAGATAGATAGATAGATAGATATGAATAATCTGAGATAGATAGATAGATAGATAGATAGATAGATAGATAGATAGATAGATAGATAGATAGATCTGTCTCGACTTCTGCGTGCAATGTGAAGCGAAACACAACTATATTCAAAGACTGACAAACCATTATCATAAAAATATGCCAGGCTGTCATACGAAAATGATCATAAGAGTTGAAGCTCTTAAAAACGCGCCATGAATCTCATACACGCGAGATTAAGCAAAAAATACAAACGCCTCCTCCTCCACACACACACACACACACACAGAGGCATACACGCAGACACACACACACTCACACAGGCACACACACAGAGAAACACACACACCAGCACATATATATATACTTAGTTTGTACGTTTATAGATATATTTTTTATGAATATGTTTTTATGATACATAATTTTATAGATATTGGCTTCGCTGAAGGCCTTATATTTTATTTTAATGTTCCTTGTAATTCTTCATGTGTGTATCTCTCTCTCTCTCTCTTCCTTTCCTTCTTTCCCCCCTCTCTCGTTCTGTCCTGTCTCCTCTTCTCTCTGTGGACATTTGTAAAAGTCATAAAATATATTTTCTCGTATTTTGCCGTAAAATTTTTCTCATGTTTACATGCTTTAAGTCTTTCTGCTTTTTATGTCACGCTCCGTAAATCTTTCAGGCTACGAGAAATAAATTCTTGCTATCATGGTAGTATATATATATATATATATATATATATATATATATATATATATATATATATATATATATATATATATATATATTCTTTCTTCAATTCTCTATATGAATGTGGACAAATACGTACGGATTTATTCATATATCTAAGTCCATAAACGTGGAACCGAATGTGAAAGAGCGCATATCTATGAATTTTTTTAGGCGCAATGACCCTCAGGATGGGCACAGATAGATAGATAGATAGATAGATAGATAGATAGATAGATAGATAGATAGATAGATAGATAGATAGATAGATAGATAGATAGATAGATAGATAGATAAATAGGTAGATAGATAGATAGATATGAAAAGACTTATCTCACAAGCTAGCTAGACAGATATAAACAGATAGATAGATAGATAGATAGATAGATAGATAGATAGATAGATAGATAGATAGAGGGAGAGGAAAAAAGGAAGTGGGAGATTGCAATAGATAGATAGATAGATAGATAGACAGATAGATAGATAAATAGATATGAAAAGACTTATCTCACAAGCCAGCTAGACAGATATAAACAGATAGATAGATAGACAGACAGAGAGAGAGGGAAAGAGAAAGAGGTGGGAGAGTGCAATAGATAGATAGATAGATAGATAGATAGATAGATAGATAGATAGATAGATAGATAGATAGATAAAGAACGGGCTGCTGTAGCTAGATAGACAGATAAACAGATAGATATGTACAGACTGAGATAGATAGATAGATAGATAGATAGATAGATAGATAGATAGATAGATAGATAGATAGATAGATAGATAGATAGATATGAGGATACTGCGATAGACAGACAAACAAACATAGATATAGAGAAAGAGATATTACGAAAGAGATAGTATGAGATATATACTAGTACCGGGCCCCAGAAATGAGGTACTTCGTGAAATTGAACAGGCTCTCGAGCCCTGGTTTCTAACCATTTCGCTGTTCCAATTGCAACTACACACACACACACTCACACACTCATACACACTGGCAAATGTGTGGGTATACAGTCTTATTTTATGTAACATGTGTGAACATCATATTGCTTCAGTGGATTTATGTGTGTGTTTATGACAACGACCCTCCATTTTTTTTTTTGCTCTTTTTCTTTTTTGCATAGCAGAGGAAACAAATGTTGAAGTGTAAGCGAGTGTATATGCCTACTCATGGGCTTTCAACAAGAGCCAATTGTTTATTTCTAAGTAAAAAGAAATACTGATAAGCATTAGCCAAGAAAATAAAAGAAAAGAAATCAAAGAGAACCTAAAATCCCACATCGGAAAATCTTATTTATGTCCCTACAGCGCCTTCCCGTGTCGCTTATCCTAGTCATAAATTAAACTCCTTATCAGTTTTCCCCTCTCACTTTTCTGTTTTTATTTGCTTTTTTGTTCAGATATGCCTGATAAAAAAAAAAGCCATACGGTAAGAAAGATACATTTGACTTGATTCTGATCTATAGAAAACCGAAGCTCTGAAATAAGCAGAAAAACAAGGAGATAAAAGCGAACAGGACATGAATAACAATAATCGCTAACAGTTGTTTGCACGTCAGCAAAAGGCCAATAAATTTATCACTGGCCGAATGGCAATGCCCGTCTACCTAAAATCTGCTTGGTGGCTGAGGTGATTGGACCCTCCTCACATCTCCACCGCATCATCCGTATGTAAACAAAAGACAATTTCGCATGTTGATTATCAAAGATAAAAATGTCTTCTTTCTGATTGAAACATGAGGTTCCTTGTAGTCCCTATCAGATTAAAACCCCGAATTTCAAACCATGGAGAAGGCAACAAACCATGGAGAAGGAAACAAGAAACTAATCCACTGATTTTTTCAAGAATTCATAACAAGAAAATCTACGAGGAGACGCCTATGTCCAGAAGGGACGTGGAGTTTCTGTCTTTCCGCCAATCTTAAGTGACGAGAGATCAATAACCACACACATTCACTTCATTCGTTGACTGATTCTTTTACACTAACCACATGAGAAGACACTTCAGTTTTTTTTATTTATTATTAATCACTTCAACCCAAGCAAGGCAATAATGCCACTAAGATGCAAGGGGCTACTGGGAGTGAAAGAGAATAAAAAGGGTTTTAGAAGGAATCGGAACCCGATCCCCAACACGAGACCCTATTCCTGTTCAAAATATAGGAGAGGTTTGGGCGATAGACAAACCTATCAACCCCTATTGAAGGAAAAATAAAAAATGAAAATAATTAGTAAATAAAATTTCAGAGTTCCGGTGGAGACGTTAGAAGTATAGAGTTTAAAGACATTGCCAATAAACAGGAAACAAGAGCTATGATAGAATCTAAACCTCGACTCTCCTGTCGAATTCGACGTATGAGGGTCAAGCAGATCAGTTTCAGAAACCGACAGCCCGACAACAGCGCATGAGATTTGATTAAGTGGTGAAGGTTTCGTGCAGGACCATCCACACACTTTTGAAGGGACTAAATACAGAGACCTGGTGCACTAAAGTGCCACAAGGTCCCCAAACGACCCTCCGCAGGTTTGAATTCAGAATTGTCCTTCTCCTACACCAATTGCCATCCAAGGCTATAGAACCCAGCCTGCCCTGCTATTTACCCCATAACTGAGGGAGAAGAAGAAATTCACAC